AGAAATGTATATATCGGATATATACATGGCCGATCTGGTTCCATTAAAGCAGCAAAATCACTCTATGGTTGATAAATGGTTTTTATACAAATTTCCATTGTGTTTTTGACTAAAGTATCAGGTAATCAATTTGGTATTAATTATATCTTTTTATTTCACGGTCAGCAAGCCAATACATATTTCAATACTGATAGATTAGCAAGATATGAAACATGATGGATTTCATATTTTTGTGCTTGCAATTCAGAACAACTACATCTAACAACATAATCATTTGAAACAAAACATCAAACTGGTAGTCTGTCAATGTATAATCTCCATCATTTCACCTGTTATTTAGTACCATTATTCAAACCAACCAAAGCAGTATGCATTGATATTCCAAAAGGAATGTATGTTTTTCTTTGATTCTAAAAGAAAGACACGAGAAGACTTGTGACAGTGTATTAATGTACTAATGACAATGTATAAGGAATTATACATGGCATCCATTTCTTCAACTGATATCATTATTCTCCCAAATTACCTGTTGTGTAACAGTGAATTCTGAGTTTTGGCCACTAATTGGTCCTGTGTTATCTTGTCATTGCCGATTTACAGCCTTGTACAAAAATTACAAGTTGTAATGATAAATGTTCTGCAAAATACATCAATGAAAGATGATAAATATTCAGTCTTGTCCACAAGTGCTATTGTGATTAATATCACCAGACTCCATTGTCGTCTATTTCAGTCCATCATGTTTATTTCACTTGTGTATTGCAATCATCCCCAGCTGATTACACTCAAATAACCAACTAACAGGCTTGCAATAATTAGGCAGATTAGCAGCCCTCTTTATAGTGATGATTAGGTTATTTAATTACACAATATTCTTGTCATTAGATGATATTGTCTTCATTAAAGGATCATTAATTTTTTGAAATAGCAAAACAAGATTTATACTAGGAAGAGAAATACCTCTGTAGCATCTCCTCATTATTTACTGGACACTACCTTGGCTTCACTGCTAATTATAGTATTTTATTGAGAAAATAGCAAGCTCAATTCTAGAAATGCCTGAAACATTATTGAAGAATTTCAGTATGTTGCTCATTATGAGAAGCTTCTTATGGTCTTCAATCTCCCACAAAAACTCTTCCTATACAATAACAGTATATTTACAATGCATATATCCAGCCATTAACAAAATTATGCCTTTCTCAATATTCATGAAAAAACGGAATTTTGAAACAACCATGTACATTAAAATAATTAACTTTAAAAAATGTTCCAGAATTCAATGGAACTTACTTAGGTTAAGAGTGTTGTTTTCAAGCATAGATTCATGGATGATATGTTAGTCATTATGAGGTATTACATTAACATATTAAAATCTCTTATTTCTTCTTGTCTGTGTGAACACATTGTTGGCCAATGTTGACACGATATGACAAGATCTATGACCTCTCACATGTTCGTCAATATACAATTAGGAACACATGTTGGATATCTACACATGAAAGAGTTTCTTTACAGATAATTTTTTACCATAGGCAATGAAATGTACCAGTGGTCTTGATGTCATGAAATATATCGCCTGATATCACCAGCATGCAATGAAATGATATCCTAATTCATGGAGATAAGCTGTAATTGAACATAAAATTTGACTCAACGTGGGTATCTAGCTTCAATTATCTATGTGTAGGACAGAACCCTGTCTGGCATTGATGTCGCCCCAAACACTGAGGATTAGGACAATTGAACATCTAGCGTCTAGAGATGGCCCAGATAGGCCTTTAATTCCAAGTGAATCTATAAAGACTTTAATATGATATGTCTTCATGGCACTGTTCTTGGTGATTAATAGTACGTTAAGGCTTTGATTTCAGCCTTTCTTCAGCTCGGGAAACATCCATCGCTCTCGCGTGATCAAGTGAACGCAAATTATGTTGACATCGCTATAGCCACCAACAATAGAGGTTCACAAGCAAGCCTCTCATAGGACTTAATGGGGCTGAATTGTATCGTGATAAAGCGTAATCGGCACAGGTAAGAAATGTGGCGGGGCCTGGGGATCATCTGTCACCCGCCTTGTATCTATGTCGCTATCGGGGTGTGCATCTTATCTCTGCGACGATCAACTTGATCGCAAAGGATCAACTCTAACTTTTTGCAAGAGGGGTATGGAGAAAGGCCGTTTTCTTTGAATAAGAGGAGTATCAAATTAACACGATGTGTGCCTATTAAGAGAAGCTGTCTGGCAAGTTATGGTACTGAGACATGCCTATCTCTAATGACTGGCAATATTTATTTAATCCCATTCATTGAAGTCAGTGATCAGGAGCTCTCAAAAGAAATTCTTGCTGACCCTTATTGTGTTTGCGGGTGCCGTTTACAATTTGCACCCTAACACTTCACTCGGACTCAGGCAAGGCAGGGAAAGGTCGACTCAGTGTAAAATGAACTGTTTCTAACACTTAGTCATTGCAGGAAAACCTGACCCTGTCAACTTTCAAAATAACACATTTGAGGAGTATCATGTTTGTTAAGAAAATGTGTTTAAGAGACTCATGCATGTGTCAGCATTTTGCTAATATTATTATGTTTTGTTGAGATTAGGATTATATTAACAATTTAGATTTCTTTCTCATTTTATATGTAATTTGTCAAGAAAACACTAAACATCATTCTTCAACAGAAATGTAATTTGAGATACAGGTAATTCATCAGCCTATGAATAATTAAATGATTAATGTGTATGTATTTCTTGAATATAATAAAATCAATTTGTAAACGTTACCCCAATGTACATGATATTTTATTAATTTCCAGAATTGTTATTCACATTCCATTTGGAATAAGACATCTATGTTGCCCATACTTTTTTCAGTGATTTATTAACAACAACAATAACAATAATAATAATAATAATAATAATGCAGGAAATAATTTTTTCTAAATAATATCGCACATAAAAACAGCTGTAATAATATAAGCATACTTCACAAATTGTGTTTGGGATAAATATTAAGATGTAATATTTTCCACAAAATTATCACAAATTCACAAAATGAAAATATAAGATAAGTTCAACCAATATTGTGACAGGTAAGGATTTTCCACTGTTTTGATACTTTTATATGCATTTAATGTTGGTATTGTAAGAATATTGACTTAGTATTGTTCGTTCTTGCAACATGTATTAATTATCTTTATACATTGTGCAATCACTGCATTCCTTTACATTCAACCAAATCTAAAATTCATTAGGAAAACTGAAAAATATTTTATTCCGTTTTCCTTAAACCAAGACACAAAGAATAGTGAAAAAAGCATAATAACAGTCAAAACATGCTAAAATTGACGACCTGTACATATCATGAGGACATGTCACGTGTCCTTCGATTCAATTATCATTTCCATTGTCATGAACATTAAGTTGCCCTTTATAAACAGAAAAATGATAGCAAATAAATGTACAATGCTTTAGAAAAAAAAGACAGAATACTTAATAATTCATCCAAATCATGATTATGCTCCTGAAGGAAAACCCTTAAATGATCTGTGTGTATGAGATTGACTGATTGCCTCTGAAAACACTCATGTATGGAGTAGTTTTTTGCCTATTTTCATACATTGTGGAAACAATAGTAACATTTAGCATTTTATTGTCAAAGTACACCTTCTATTGATAGAAGCATTGTATATTCTACTGATCAGTTCAGCTCAATAAAATTCAGAACGGTATGCATATTTGGTATATATAATTTGGTTCCAATATGCAAAGACATATAGTTAGAATATAGTGAACATTTTATGCTCTCTCTGTTTCTCCAATACATAAGTTCAAAAGAATGACAGCATTTCATACTGGTTCAGTTTATGATAATTGTGATTATTTCTGTCTTAAGTATGAGTTGATAGACAGGATGTATTCCTACATTGCTGCAGGCTATTTAGATTGGTGAACAGTATGTTTCATAACTTATGATATTGATACAACACTTTTACATTAATTTCACTGTTCATGTCGTAAACACATTCAACCATATGTATATTTTCAATGCTGACAGTATCATGTCAGTATTACATCTGTATCAACTGTTGATTAAATGAAAGGCTGTGTGCTTGATGACAGTATTCCTGGCCAGGTTATTATCAAGACAAATATCACAACCGCAGGCCACTGAAGACAAAACAGGCGCTCCAGGTGACTTAATGATCTCAATACAGGTGATAACAGGTGTGATTCTACTTGTCCAGGTTACTACAGAGCGAAATAAGACACTTTAATGGCCATTTCAGTACAACACAAACAATACACATCTTGACAAGTGGAACAGAATTAGAGTCAATTTTCAGATTTAACTGAATGCAATATAGTAATGTCTTGGAGAAGTATGAACTAAATAGCCTTACATTAATTCCAGAATATAAAAGAAAGTTGAACATTAGATGAGATATTGTGCCCCTTAGTTCCTATTGAATTAAGACATGCTCTTTGATTTCTCAGAGGAAAGCGCCTTAGTCCCTAAATGACTGATTCATTAGTATTGCTTTGTACATTGCTTAGGTACATGTCAGAATACACTTACGTGTCGATTATGTGATAAAGATCTACTTAGATGAGTAATTCAGTTTGATTGCAATCTTTCAACACAGTACTATTGACAATCCCACATTCCAGAATGAAACGTGACATATTTCAAATCAAACCTAGCCTTCACCTGAATGTTTCTATGAAGAAATTAATTATACATTTCATTTTCATTTCAATGATGCATCTGATTAAACGGCTGGTGAACAGACTTTAAAACTATTCATATAGAAAGTATTTAATTTTGTTGATTGGCAAGCATTTCCAACACAGCAACTAATTACCTGAGCATGATTGGGTGCCTGAAATGGTGGTTATGATGAAGTGTCAGTTCCGGATTAATGGCATTAGAGAGGCTTGTGGTTGTACACAATCATAACATAAGAGAAAGGATTTAACTGTTAAAGGAATCACGTACCTCGCTTCTGCATAAAGGCAAACAAGTCATCAAGAAATTCTTTTCTCTTTGGGTCGTCACTGAGTTCATAAAGCTGAAAGAATAATCGTTTGTTTTAAAAGTTGCAAAGTGTTTAATCTGCATATGAACATATAAGTGTGGAATCAAACAGGTACAACTTCAAATGAAAGTTGTCTAGAAAGAGACAGTGCATATATTAAATCAGTGACAGTATATATAGCATATTCAATAGTGGTTCTTCAATCACTACATCTTTTCTTAAGCTATTATGTACATACAGAATGCTTTTTAATATTTTTTGTTTAAATTCCATTTAACTTTTTACAATGATCCTTTTGCACCTTCTCAACCCCATCAAGGCTAGTATCATGTTACAGACACTTAGCATCCTGTTTTGTTCGTGTTAAGTGTCTCAAGATTATTCCTACAAAACTTCAACATATACCTGTATGTCTGAATTCAAAATAATTAATGACATTTGTTGCCGTTTGTATTTCTGTGTTAAAGGACAATATCTTATTTTGGATCATTCCAAAGACAGCATACCAAACAGACTTATTTTCCCATCAAAATGGCTACTGGTATATCTATTAGGTCCTCTTATGTATACACAGATACTATGTTCCAAGATTAAAAAGGTTGGCATTTCTTCTAGGAATGAATATGAATGGGTCCGATATCTAATCCTGGCACTCCACTGTAAGACACAATAGATTATACCATTATGAAAAGCCAACATCAAATATATGTTAAAATGGTACAGTGAATAAAAAGGATAGCATTTCCAATTCACACATTATATTTCTTCAGTTGATCACATAGGCTGCAATAACTGCCTTAGAACATTTACTTGATAAATTGCATCTGTTAATCTCAAATTGAAACTTTATTCATATGATTTCTCAAATTTCGTAGGATATCAAATATTTATCATTTGAAGTTGATGTAGAAATGAATATAAAGGGAAATATAAATATAAATGCAATATCAGCTTGGCACTATGGATCAGATGCATGCTTCATGAAAGGGAGGCATAAAATATTCAATCAAAGTACATTGTATATAACAAAATCTCCTTAAATACACTACATTAATTATACATTGTACAAATATATTCCTGTGTTGAGAACTGAAATACGACAAAAGTTTACATTTCTGAGTGAGACTGTTCACTTATAAAATCTAAACGTTCGCATACCGTATTATCTGACTAGAACATAGATGATCCTGATAATGTTCAGTCCTAGAGTGTAGACTTGGAGTATATATGACCTGAGGCATTTCTACTTGTGTAATCGAACCCTTCAATTCCATGCTACTCGTTAGACGCATGGAGGATGTAAGAAATCACTTTGGGTCGAAATTCTTATTAGTTTCTGCAAGAGTTTGAACGGGGACATTGTCGTTCCCCTGACGCAAATCTTCATGTCATGGAAGAAATCTATACTTTCTTCTGGCCACTATTTGTCAGATATTGAAACTCTGGGAAAGGTATTTAATATCCTTTTCACAAATTCCATCTAAAGCATTGTGTTGATCAAGTATCACCTTTAATGAATATTCTTCTGGCAAGAGATATTGTTACACAGCAGACTGCTCTTCACATCCCGACTCTCATTGCATAATGTAAGCGTTACAATCTCGTTACAATACACAATATCACAATTTGGGTTCTTATATATGGTATCCTAATTTTATAAACGTTGCCATACCATCTTTATGGGTCAACCCCACAAAATATAAGCATTAGTTTTATGGTGAGCAGTATTACGAAGATCGCATCACGAAGATGGAAGTTGTATCGATATCAAAGAATGTGGGGGATAAATTCAATTTCATCCGCCAGTACCATAACTGATACTTGCCTTGACTATCGGCTCAAAAGAGGATCTCTTAAGATGTGTATTATGTTTCGCCAATTTATGCACTGTGGTGTTGAAACCGTACCAGAGTATACAGACACAATTCCCAAGGTGGTGAAATTTATGATTCCACATTTTCAAAACAGAAAAAAATCATTATTATTGCATGCTTTTCTACAAAAGAAGTATTTTGTTTTCGCCGATAAATCGGATCTTAATATTAGTGGATGACATTTTGAAAGGTAAACACAATCCGTTCTTTAATAATTTACGTCTCCCAAGTGTTCAGTGATATCGGAAATGAAATTCTGCTTTTTAAAATATATGAAATGCAGAAAAATCCGAGTTTGAGCCAAAAAAATATAATAAATTTCCCGGGGAGTATATTATACCAGCATCCAGTAAGGCCAGCCTTCAACAGCGCCAGTGACCGCCCACCGCTCCTCATTAGTCGACTGAGCTTGCCTACAGCCTCGGCGCTAGCCAATCATATGAATCGGCCACTAAATAATTACCCTCAGTATTACCTGTTTATCTTAAATCTAAAAACAATCAGATTTGTGTACTTGGGGTATTTTCGGTTTCTGTTAAATATTTCTAGGTAAGATCGTATCACTACCTTCATCCATCTATCGGTTACCAGTGACATCCTACACTTTGATATCTGACGATATTAATTTAAATGGGTTTTATTTATCACAAAGTAATATTTTCTAAATCGACGTCCTCTTGTATAGGTAGATATTTCTCATGTAATTCTTTTTCATGGTTTCAATATGAATTTACAAAGAACACGACATTGACAAATGATTCAGAAATTATATTTATGTAAAATACCTTTACCTTGTAGGAATTCAGAAAATATCAAACGGACAAGATACATGTTGTTGTGGCGGTAAGGAATACCTTTCTTCACTCATATTGAATTTGATATAAATGAGCAAACATTTGCATCATTTAGAGCAATGGGTTGTACAGGCTTCCCCTTAAGTGGTTGTTGACAGTGTGAATAAAGCTTTCTAAAGAAGGATTGCCTGTTCTATAGAGAACTTTCTGACCTATTCCACACAAGCAAATGTTTCACAATTCATCCCATAACGGCCTCTTATAGTGACAAAAGCACACGGAATTTATTCAGAATTAAATGAAAGTCACAAATAAATTCGTACCCAAGGATCACACAGAAAATCTTTATTAAATATATGAAAAAGATTAAAGAATCTCAGCGCTTCATAAATACTGTGAAAGGTAAATTAATGTTATATTTCATCCCATCAATATGTAAATCAAAAACGCGTGTATCACCACACATTGTTGACGATATAACCTACAAGGGGGAGACATACTCTTATATTGAAGAAATCAGAGAAGTGTGAAACACCTTTCCAACTAGCTGACAATACCATCAAAGGGAGCGCGCATCACTAAGTGTGATATTGCTAGTTGTGCGGGAAACATTCTTTCCTAAGACGTGGCTTCTGGTCACAAAGATTTAATCAAATTTCAACAAATATATAAATATTTGTCCTGGGAATAAACGCAGGCTTTGATAGTCGGCGTTGTGTGGCTCTGAACGTCTGGTGGGTCGGTTGGGGTAGGAAGATAAAGACCAATCAAAAGAAAATTTCCTCCAATTTCAAAGTCATCAACAGGTGTAGGATGATAGCATTTTTGTGATGATCAATTTCCTTTCATCAAAGAGATATCGTAGGTTGGTGTGAATCGTAGCTTTAATCCTTACTAGTCAAGGGAATCGTTTAATTTGGCGAAAATTGAGAAACAACTAGGGGTGTTGGCAACAATGATAGTGACCTCTCGGCCTTCCTCAGATGGATAACAATCAAAAATAACAAATAAGCCGGCCACGAGAAGTCTGTGATTTGAGCACTAACAGATATATTGGATGCGAAATCATAAGCTTCATTATTTGCCCCCCTCCGTAAACACGTGTCCAATAAAACGCATTCATGGGGGAATATAAAGCATCGCAACACAGAAAATGGACCCACTTTGAAGGACAATAAAAACTATAACAAATAAATTCCCAAGAGGACGATTGGGGTAAAGATTGCAAAGAAAGCCAGATTACCGCGTCAATGAAAGTGATCGAACCATAACAAGCACACAGAACACATGTTTACATTTCTGCTCACAAAAGACACTCCATAATACGATTAAACCTGCAACAAATCCGCCCCTCGGGCGGAAAGAGGGTAGCGCACCGCGGATAGAGGTCCCGTTCAGCTCTTACCAGAACCGTCAACGACCCGTGTTACGAGCGTTGAACAACGTCATGAGCCGTCGACGCTATTTACGTCAAATGACGTCAAGTCAACAAAAATGTCTCAAACGATCGGAATACCTTTTACACGGGTTGTTATCAAATAATAGTGTAAATTTTGCTTTAAAGATTTTCGTTATTTCGAATAGGTTTTCCAATCAAACATTGACCGGCAATACGTCAAAGAGCAATCAGTCTGTTAGCCCACCTAAAGATGTACCTTTGGTGTAAATACCTGTGAAGATTACATGGATGGATCGCTAAAACTGGCTATATCACCTGACACGGAATCTTCTTCAGTGTCAAATAGTGGTTCATGTTTTCCTTCATAAACCTCACTCTAATACTTATTAATTCAGGAAAATACTGTTAAAATCAGAAGAATTGGACAATATTGAAATGACTTATTTGCCTTCAATGAAAACAGTCATAATTTAAATGTGTCTTGAAGTGCTTATATATTTGGGCTGAAAAGTTAATGTAAGAAGTTGACCTGAAGAATAGTACCATATGAATATTTCTTATGTTCATGGTCCGAATAGGTCAGTGTAGGAAGCACCTGCCACTGAGATTGATCCAGCATTTGAGGAATATTTCACCATCATAAATATCGACGATGTAGCGACAGAAAGCAAGCAGGGTTGAGGGGACGGGTTAATTCTTTATTACTGCGAAGTTCAGTGAGCATAAGCTTAATCGTCACTCGACACACAATCATCAAAGCAGATCAAATGTACATCATGATTCCTTAAATGTGGTATGCGTCCATTCACATTCTTTTTCAAATATTCATTGTTCATTGATCACTTAATGAGAGCGATCCCCTGTCTAACTAATTCTTCGATGACGCCGTGTTCTGATTCCCAGAACGTGATCGGTTTCATTCGCTTGTCCTTATTTAGTGTTCCCGAGGTATTAAGAAAGCCATCC